CGCCTATAAACTCGACCAATAAAGGAATCTTAAGATTTTGTTTTGTCTACTGATAGTAAATCCAATTTCTTAGTTGAGAGCAGAATATGAATGCTATGGGTCAATATTTCTAATTTTAAGAGATTTTTGACTATATTATTACTCATGTCCCCTCGACCAGAAATGGGATAACGCCTATAAACTCGACAAATAATGGAATCTTAAGATTTTGTTTTGACTACTGATAGTAAATCCCATTTGTTACTTGAGAGCAGAATATGAATGCTATGGGACAATATTTCTAGTTTTAAGAGATTTCTGACTATATTATTACTCATGTCCCCTCGACCAGAAATGGGATAACGCCTATAAACTCGACAAATAATGGAATCTTAAGATTTTGTTTTGTCTACTGATAGTAAATCCCATTTCTAAGTTGAGAGCAGAATATGAATGCTATGGGTCAATATTTCTAATTTTAAGAGATTTCTGACTATATTATTACTCATGTCCCCTCGACCAGAAATTGGATAACGCCTATAAACTCGACAAATAATGGAATCTTAAGATTTTGTTTTGACTACTGATAGTAAATCCCATTTCTAAGTTGAGAGCAGAATATGAATGCTATGGGTCAATATTTCTAATTTTAAGAGATTTTTGACTATATTATTACTCATGTCCCCTCGACCAGAAATGGGATAACGCCTATAAACTGGACAAATAATGGAATCTTAAGATTTTGTTTTAGCTACTGATACTAAATCCCATTTCTAAGTTGAGAGCAGAATATGAATGCTATGGGTCAATATTTCTAATTTTAAGAGATTTCTGACTATATTATTACTCATGTCCCCTCGACCAGAAATTGGATAACGCCTATAAACTCGACAAATAATGGAATCTTAAGATTTTGTTTTGACTACTGATAGTAAATCCAATTTGTTACTTGAGAGCAGAATATGAATGCTATGGGACAATATTTCTAGTTTTAAGAGATTTTTGACTATATTATTACTCATGTCCCCTCAACCAGAAATGGGATAACGCCTATAAACTCGACAAATAATGGAATCTTAAGATTTTGTTTTGACTACTGATAGTAAATAACATTTCAAACCTGTCATCATGTTGACTATATTATCACTCATGTCCCCTCGACCAGAAATGGGGTAACGCCTATAAACTTGACATATAATGGAATCTGAAGATTTTCTTTTAGCTACTGATAGTAAATACAATTTCAAACCTGTCAGCAAAGCCTGAATGCTATGGGACAATATTTCTAATTTTAAGAGATTTCTGACTATATTATCACTCATGTCCCCTCGACCAGAAATGGGATAACGCCTATAAACTTGACATATAATGGAATCTGAAGATTTTCTTTTAGCTACTGATAGTAAATCCCATTTCTAAGTTGAGAGCAGAATATGAATGCTATGGGTCAATATTTCTAATTTTAAGAGATTTCTGACTATATTATTACTCATGTCCCCTCGACCAGAAATGGGATAACGCCTATCAACTCGACAAATAATGGAATCTTAGGATTTTGTTTTGACTACTGATAGTAAATCCCATTTCAAACCTGTCAGCATGTTGACTATATTATCACTCATGTCCCCTCGACCAGAAATGGGATAACGCCTATAAACTTGACATATAATGGAATCTGAAGATTTTCTTTTAGCTACTGATAGTAAATACCATTTCAAACCTGTCAGCATGTTGACTATATTATTACTCATGTCCCCTCGACCAGAAATGGGATAACGCCTATAAACTCGACAAATAATGGAATCTTAAGATTTTGTTTTGACTACTGATAGTAAGTCCCATTTCTAAGTTGAGAGCAGAATATGAATGCTATGGGTCAATATTTCTAATTTTAAGAGATTTCTGACTATATTATTACTCATGTCCCCTCAACCAGAAATGGGATAACGCCTATAAACTTGACATATAATGGAATCTTAAGATTTTGTTTTGACTACTGATAGTAAATACCATTTCTAACTTGTGAGCAGAATTAGTTAGTCACATGATATATTGTTTAATAACAAAATTTATCTAGAACTCTATGGTTACACTATATGTCACTAATGTTCAAATTTCTTTTCATACGGTTGAATAAAGATATATAACTTAAGTCACCTTCAGTGTATGCATGACCAGATTGTTTAATTCATGTATCTAAATACGTTTTGCATGTACTGTGGTAAAAAAAATCACAATCGGACATTTTGTATCTCTTGAGACCTTACAGGTCAGATAATAGTGGGGTGGGGCCCCGGGTAGTAAATTTGGACTCGTCCCAGCTCTAGAATTTATGTACAATTATTTGAGAGAGATGGTTTGATATTTGTGTATATTGGATGTTGCCATGTCATGACCATTGGAATAATAAAGTGATGCCACATTTCTACTCTGTCTGAGTTCTGCTCATGACAGTAGATCATGAAGACTGCACCAACTCTATGCATGTCTGCCAAGGGAAGTGTGGGAAACTGTGGCTTTCTGCCACAACTCAGAAAGTTGTTGATGTGTAATTGTTATATATGCACAGAATGTCTGATGTGTGACATTATGCTGTACATTTTCATATTGTTACGTGTCAGTTTAATAATAATGTAATAATAATGTCTCACATTTTTACATACACTCTCTCAAAAAAGAAACGCAACCCCTATATTTTCAAGATCTTTATCTCAATATTCAAGTTATTATAACACATTTATTATTGAAGACAACAATATGAAATTTGGCATGGTGGCAGTACAGTTATGCAAGTTTAAGTCCAGACTTTGACAGTTCTCTCACTAAGATTGACTTGACGCAAGGGGGAGTGTTTCTCAGTACCTCGTATGAGCGCCACGAGTTGCGATCACAGCATTGCACCTCCTAGGAACAGAACGGATTAGACGCCGGATTCTTTCCTGAGGGATTGCTCTCCACTCCTCCTGCAGTGCAACGGCTAGTGCATCCAACGTCTGCGGAGGCGGTGTACGTGCACGTACTCGTCGGTCCAGATAATCCCAAAGATGTTCGATTGGGTTGATATCTGGTGATCGGGAGGGCCATGGTAACACGTTGACGTCAGAATTCTGGAGAAAATTTACTGTTGCATGAGCAGTGTGCGGCCGGGCGTTGTCGTGTTGATAAAGCTCCCTCTGTTGGTCGATAATCGGCAGAAGATGAGGCTGTAAAACTTCATTGATATAGCGCTGGGCTGTCAAATTGCCACAAATGATCACCAAGTCTGATCTTTGGTTGTAAGACATGGCTCCCCTCACCATGATGCTCCCTCCACCAAATCTGTGGACCTGCCGAACACAGTTCGGGGCAAAACGTTAGTTTCCTCTTCTATAGACATGCTGTCTTCCGTCACGGCGTTGTAAGAGAAAACATGATTCGTCACTAAACTAGACGCACCTCCAGTTTCTGAGGGTCCATATCTGAACGTTGGTGCACCACCTGAGTCGTTGGCGTCGATGTTCGTGGCGTAAAACAGGTCCAATCAGTGGTCTTCTTGCACGTAGACCGGCCTCTCGTAGACGGTTCCTAATTGTTTGTGCGAACACTTTTCTCAAACCTGGCGCCTATGTTGCAGTGACGGTAGGTGTGGCTAGCCGATTACGTAGTTGGGTGACCCGGATGAATGGATCCTGAGGTGGTGTGGTAACCCTTGGCCTACCACTTCTGGGGCGATCTTCAGTTGCATGAAACTGGGTGTATTGGCTCAAAAGTCGGGAAATCGTTGTTTTATGAATATTGAGGTGCCGGGCAACGTTTCCAAAGCTTTGTCCGGCCTCAATACGACCAATGGCGATATTTCGATCTGCAGCACTCAACCGTGGCATATTCGACCTTGTCTTTCGGTGAAAATGATAGAGTGAATTGCTAATCAACACGTACTTTTAGAAACCCATACTTCTACTGCTCTTTCCATGAATTGCACGTGCATGAGGCTTTTGGCATGGGCCACGAGAAAATTTTGCTCACTATGCTTAAAGTAACAATAAAATGCCCTTTTGCACGAAAATTGGTGTGTTTGGGCGCTTAGTTAATAAACAATGTACATGGTATGCGTGCATATCAGAAAAACTGTATTTACAATGAACATTTTTCTTCTTGGGTCTTTCTCACATTTTCAGACTGGGGTTGCGTTTCTTTTTTGAGAGAGTGTATTTTGTTTCTTTGGACCATTTTCTGAAACGATTACTTACTGGTAAATAACATGGACACTTAATACGAACATGGAAGGTAATACAAGTGGTTGTATGAAAGTAACTATTAAACCACTACACAAAGATTAATTATTTGGGGGATTATTCTTCACAGGAGTTTTTCAAAATGTTCCTGGGGAGTTGTTTTGGAAAAATGTCCATGACACAAGACAAACACATTTGTGGTTACGCTTTGCAAGTAGGGGGTATTCATGCATTTATCAAAATTGTATATGCCTTCTTTATTATGTGTACTTGCTTTGTTTAGGCTTTGGTTAAAATTATTAAAGGTTAAGGTCTGTGTTCTGATATTTGCAAAACACATTTTAATTATTGTATGAGGCATGGTTTTCTCTGTAGACATGAAACTATATATGTACATCCTTACAAATACTGCCACATTAAATGTTAGTGCTATATATGTCAATGTTCAAGGTGACATTTGAGGTTATTGGGACACATGGTTGTATTAACTGTATTACTTGTGTAATGCAGAGACTGGGTTATATTTGGACAAAGAAATTGTGATGGTTTGGACTTGAAATACATGGTAGTTTTTTTAAGACATTTTGAGTAAATGGAAATGTTTCTGATTTTGCAAGTATTTTTAAACATTTGCTAGTTACATTGGTTTGCATTCTAGAAACATTTAATTCCCATGAAAATGACGTGTATAATGGTCTTTGTCATATTTATGTAACCTCCAGGTTTATGTTCATTTAATGTTAAGGAGCCAATGGCTATCATTATTCATCTGGCATTTCTTGTGTGTTAGATTATTTTGCTGACTTATTTCAACAGCCATAAAAATATATTTGTGTCTACCAAATTAAGCGCTTGAATACCACATATGATTATATTTAACATAATAATCATTTAGTCTACCTTGTTGCAATATGGTTTAGAACAGGACCCCAGCAATCTATTCTTGTGATAACAGGCGACTAAATAGACCTGGTTGTTAGATTTGGTGACTTTATTGATTGTGTGTCATCGTACTGTAACCTTAGGTTCCGGGTACTTTACCCTTCTACCTATGGTCACTTCTAACTATCAACTACTCCTTGGTTCTAGGGATGATGTAGCTCTCTTGAAAATCACAAGTCAGATGGTTTGCTCCAGCCTCTTTTTATTTATGATAGAATTAATCATAAATATGTACACATGGTCCTCAGATTAGTTCTTGTTGTTGCCTGATATAAATACAACACATACCTAGATGATGGTTGAAGAGCCTGATGGTTTTTCTGATGAACGTTAACTCTACGTCTTTTCTGACTCGGGATCCCAAAACCACAGTGAACCTTTCTGTTCAGCTGTCTGCTCCCGACTCCCCGCACCACTCTCGGACAACTAACAAAATACTATCGATGATAATTTTAACTCCTCCCACCGAAATCATATTTGACATCCTGAGAAATGAGTCTTAACGCTCACTTCTCTATGAACCCCCAATTCCCATTTCAATCAGTCTTCCCATCAAGTTCTTCTAACCAAACACTCAACTAATTTCCTAAATTAATGGTCAAATCATTGGTCAACCGAACATACCCTCAACTCTAAACAACCCTAGATGTAAACCCAATACTCTGCCAGATTGGAAGGTGCCGAAAAGATTGTGATTCAAATGAAGCTTGTTATTTAGACATAGAAATATTTGATCACATCCGGACTTACCAACTTTTGTCCCATCGATTCATTTCCCTTCTGACCCTTATACTACAAGACCGTATTCTACTAATTTCCTCAGATTAATGAAAAGTTATCTCTATCACTTAAGAGAAGCAAAATCGATAATCATATGCCCTGGGGGTTATGCCCTCACCCTGTACGGTCACTTCTCTCATATGCATCCATATTTTACCCAAAAGCTCAATTTAGTAAACTACATTTTAAGTAAATATTAAAAAAACCTTTTTCCAAAATACCATGGTTATACATGCCCTTCCCGTTGTAGAGCATGTCCCATGCGATTGACCAATGATAATAAAATATAAGATGTAAATACAATAGTACAATATCAATATGTAACAACATGTGTATGTATGCATCTGAGGACCAGATAAATTAATACAATAAAATTTTACAAAGTAATGTCTCAGATAGGATCTGTCTTGGGTTGTACCTATCTGAGAATGATAACATGCCAAGACTTATAAAGGCATAATCAAACAATTCTTCTTTGTACGCTTTTTCAGTAGATGCAGATTGGTAATAAAAACATTTCTTAACATTTCGATCTTATATGTAAAGACATATGAGCATTTTCCTTCAGGCAAAAATCACAATAGTATCACAACACCAATAACCAACTGATGATCAGTTTCAGAGTTCTACGTATCCAATATATAGTCTTACTATTCTGTATCATCAACATGTTCCATGTCCGTATGTTCTAGAACATATTCAACTTACTCTGACTCTTATGGTCTCGATCCAATGAGAAAAGTTCTCCATATCAAATGATCAAAAATGTCCTATTACATGTGGAAGTTTATTTAGAAATGATTCTCTCCATCATCTTATAGATTGAGGTTGCTCATTCCTACATGTATGACAGCGAAAACGTTGACTCTGATGTCCAAAAGAGTTAATTGTCCCAAATTCAGTCATTTGTAAATCAAATAGGAAATTACTTTAAATTCATGCATTACACTCCATGAAGTCCTCTTTAACTGAAGATTACAACAGTTTGTTCTTATAATTTCTCAAGTAAATGTTGAAATTTAGCTTCAGCATCTATACACAGTAAACAAACAACATCTCACCTGACTCAACAATCACAATAGTTTTTGTTTTTTTCAATATCTAAACAACATCAACTTATCGTAAAGTCACTGGACATGCACCTACATAGAATATTGTCAAATGTCTCATTGGGCAGTGATCGCACGTGCAATCTATCAACTCCGGAGGTGCAATACAATGCACCATTTACAACATCCTGGTAACATATAACGGATAGCTTTTCTCCCATGAAATTTAACATATGTTTTTCTCATATGATAGGTGTACTCCTTCATATATATTATAAATAAATGCATATAGGTAAGCACAAAAGCATTAAACATGTAGTAAAAGTAACATCTTGAATACAGTAAAACAATCAACATTTATACAAGAGGACACTAGTATGTCTGAGATCACTTAAATTTCTAAAACTGTGACATTTCAATGCTCTCCTTATTTTTGATAGAGTCCGCCTTAAGTGTCGGAAAGGTATCAACTCGGGTGATAATACATTTTGTAATAACTTATATAATTCCGTGCTCAACCGATTAATCTTCCTTTCAACCATAGTAGCAAAATGTAACTCCTTTGCAACCAGTTGTATCCAATGTGCATAGATGGCCTGAAACCATCGTATCTTACCATCCTCTCTCTACCTTTATCAGTTCAGTCAATTCATTATGATTTGCAATTATACCTTGCTTTAAACCATCCATTCTGTCATTGGCCTTAGACATGTACGAACCCATGTAATCTTGTGACACGTTAAAAGCTGCTTCTTCCGCTCTCATTCTATTTGATAAGATATGGATATGTTGTCGTATTATGTTCACGTCGCTGTCATGTGCGGTTCCAAATAAATTATGTGAGAATTCACCAATAAAAGGTAGTAATACTCTCTTGGAGCAAGTCTGAGAACCAACAATTTGACCTTGAAGAATAATATCTCTGATCAAAGCAACCCCTTCTAACATGTCTTTGAAAGTGTTGTGATGTACGCGATAAGTAAAATTCAATAAAGCCCTCATATTCTCATCACAGGATGTATGATTTGCCTGAAGAGAAGTATCTCTAAGCAGATCTCCGGTAGTTAGAGATCTTTGGCAATTAAGTAGTGAATATATGATACCATGTCTGTTCGTATATTAAGTCGTCCCATATATCTGAAGGTATTACCCCAGAGATAGATATCCGGAATATATGTTGTCAAAGGTACTGAGTTCCACATCATGAGTAGTGTCATCACCACCTTAAGTGTGAAGCCTAAGGGTCCTTTAGAACGCAGATATCCAAGTAATCTCTCAGATTTTAGATCTGATCTCAATTCCTACTCTGTTATCCCTGTGAAGCCATATCTTCCCTAAGTGAAAACAATAAACAACAATCCCAATTGATCGTCACCAATGTACCATACAACATATTACTCTCTCATAAATAATGTCTAGCAACATTAAGTAAACCGCAGAACACAGCGCTTATGTTCATACAGTTCCAGTTCATGTGTCAATAATATGCTGTACTTGTGGGTCAGTTGAATATTTTTAAGTTAAAAAGGCCTTGTTTTTAAACAACTTCTGATTTCTTACATCTTCAATCCCAGTAATATATAACCGTATGTCCCTTTTCACTCCTATCGTTGTGTCTTTATCTGTGTCAGCATCATAACTCATGAAAAAAACCAAAAAAACAACCTCTTTAATATTCCGTCTGTACTCTCTTCAAACATTTCCTCTCCTCAACAGGAGGTATACAACAGCCTTCTGACTAGGCAAATCTCTTCTGTACAAATATGATTGGCCAATCATCTACATCCCACGACCGATTTATAGGTCTTCACCCAGGCTACGAGACAAATCGACCCTCTGTCCTTCGTCCCGAGTGAATTCATCGTTAGTCTTTCGACTGTCCTCAATATACTCAGCAACTTGAGGTAGAAACATATCTACCTCACCACTAGAGACTGTCAGGCATCTCTAGACTTGATCTTTCAAGCTTTGAAACAGCATAGGCATGTCCTCATCTATGTGTTTATATTCAAATAACGTAGGCATGTCTCCTCTACGTCCCTGTCGACATTATTACTACGTGGGCATGTCTCCTCCACGGCTTGACAGCGTAGGCATGTGACCTCTACGACTTACTATCATTTCATATCTACGTAGGCATTTTACCTCTACGACTTTTCATTATCATCCTTGATTTCCTATCTGGGTACCCATTTGCTTTGACACATGACACTATAACTTGGGACTAAAACCAACTTGTTATTATAACCTTGGATCTACATATCCTCCATATATCATATACCTATCTTGTTGCCACACTTCCTTACTTGCAGTTCTATTGTTTACTTGTTTGTTGTTTTCTTTCTTCACCTTCCCTGTCATTGTTCTTCTGACATCGAAATCCTCCACAATTTCTAAACTGAGAAACTCACTTAGGACCCCTTCTCTTTCCGAGACACCTGCTAATCGGACTTGGTATCTCATTCCTCTACGACTAATCAACTTCCATTTCATATTTGGATATCCTTATTCCTGTCACCTAATGATTGATTCCCGTCAATATCAACATTTTTGAATGCTTTATCACCTGTGGTGATAGGCGTGGTATGTGTGGTGTCACTGTCTCCTAACTCTCCATACACATCGGCAATATCGACTTCTTTAATGACACCTATCACCAACTTAATATCTGAACTAGCAGGGTTTATCAACCTAAACAATGGTACTTGATTGACAGATGAAGTGAGATATCTAGCACCTCACACATGTAACCATTCTGCAATAGACTCAATTGGATCAACAACGCCTAACTTTATATCTGGGTCATTAACGTACACCGGCAACAAAGTTTCATCGTGTGGTGGCAGTACCACATCACATATACATGTAACAAGGTTGGAATTAATCTGAATAGGCAATGAAATTTGTCTCTGTAAGTCCATCCTACAAAGTCAACCTATTATGGTTAATATCAATTTAAGCCTTCTGGCTTCTCAAGAAATCTAAGCCTAACAACACATCAATTGATAAGGCTAAAAGACCTCAAAGTCCTGTACAATACATAGCTGACCAACTGTAAGAGGAATTTTAGATATGCCTAACACATTTTTCCTTCTGCACCGACCAATGACCTTGCACCTCATTTCGTTATAGGAAAACTACTCTCACCTCCAATAGATGAGAATACATTTGAATTCATACAGCTCAAAGTTTCACCTGAATCACATAGGGCACTGTAAGTCTTTCCAGATATCTTAACCCTAATACTGCTGTGAGATAAGCCCACACTACAAGTCAAAACAACAATCTCGCACAAATAACCTATCATTTCTATGATTTGGTTCTGTATTATTTCTCATTGTAAAAGTATGGTCTATGATGTTATCAACATTATCAAAATCAATATTTGCTATATTGGCAGCAGGCTCAAATCCTAATGTAGCACTGCCCCTGTTAACCCTTGCAATGTTTGGCTTAATTAGAAAAGTAGAATCTGCTTAGGTGCCCTATCCTACAGCATTGAAAACATTGCATAGATCTCACAAGACTCTCAGACATACTAAAATGTGTCCTACCTCATTGTCCACAAATGTTCCATAATTGTGGTTGTGACACCCTATGCTCCTCATTGCTCATATTCCTTGGAGCAGGGCTCCAGTTTTGTCCACAGGGCACATCATTGTCACTCATGTCCCTGATATCAACATGTGTTGATGCACAACCACTTCTGTTATGTTGATGGAATGTTTGTGTCCCGTTCTTCACTGGTTGTTGGTCATCAGTACACTCAGTCGCAGATTTAATGTACTGCTTTCTGTACATAGAGTCATCCTGATGCTCGTATGAAAAGTTCCCTCCTGTTCGAGTATTTTCTGCACTGGTCAATAAGGATACTTGTCCAACCAGCTCCTCTATAACAGACACAAGTCTGTCATTCTCTGATGTGGCCAGTCCAAATGCAGCATCTGCTATTCTTGCACTTTCCAGGACTTGATCCTTGGTCTCATGCAATCTTGTCAAAATGAACTGTTTAATGTGAGGTTGAGAATTCCTAATGACGGCATCCATGAGAAAGTTGTCGTCCAGTCTATCAAGACGTTTTGCCTCATATTGCAATTCTTGAAGAAAGTCCTCAAAATCCTCAGACTGTTTCTGTTTCCTATTATAAAGCTTGTCTAGTCTTTCATATCTTTTTTGCTGAATTTAGTTTGTACCTTGCAAGGAAAGCTGTCTTCACCTCATTCCAGGAATTGTCACTAAAGTCTTGAGCTTCATGCCACTTTAAAGCATTTTTGTCTAACCATAAACTAAATACTGTCTTTGTCCATTCTTCTGAATAATTATGTAAAGAATTAAATTTCTCATATCTGCTTAACCATGAACTTGCAATTTCTGGATCACTTCCATTGAATTTCTCAAGAGAAAACTGACTTAGGGAAAAAGCCCTTGCTAAAGCTGCAAAATTGTTCCCTAATTTGTCCTTATTCCCAAGTCCTCTTGAAAATAAACTGTCATTTGTCTCTGTAATATCAGAGGCAGAACAATTTTCATTGTCATGAAACATTTTGAGTCACTTTGGTTCTTCCCTGACAATATGTCCAAATTCAACATCATAATTTCAAGACGTCTCATGCTCATTGTTGGTGATGAGAGATAAAAACAGTCTTATAATACTGCAGAAAGTTTCTATGCACACAAGCGTGCAGCAAGGGTCCTCCTTCAGTGTGACTGTCCCACACTAGAAAATCAATATCACTGTTATGGTAGTAGCCGTACTACCAAAGAAATCAATAACACAGTCTCTTCATGGGAAACTGACCACCCCACGGCTTTCAAACAGTGAACCATAGTCCCGCTGGTGAGCATAGTTCACCAATACAAGGGCAAAACACATCCCTCACAATCAATTCACGCTTTACAGGACATCACCTACCGTGAATGGCAAATAGCATCTGCTCGTGTCAGGCTAACAACCATCAAGTGTCCAGCAACTCAGCTGCAGATGCAAACTGTTCAAACTTGTGATGAGCATGGTACAGTGATCTTAGAGCATTTCCGCCATATGTAACCTTAGGTTCCGGGTACTTTACCCTTCTACCTATGGTCACTTCTAACTATCAACTACTCCTTGGTTCTAGGGATGATGTAGCTCTCTTGAAAATCACAAGTCAGATGGTTTGCTCCAGCCTCTTTTTATTTATGATAGAATTAATCATAAATATGTACACATGGTCCTCAGATTAGTTCTTGTTGTTGCCTGATATAAATACAACACATACCTAGATGATGGTTGAAGAGCCTGATGGTTTTTCTGATGAACGTTAACTCTACGTCTTTTCTGACTCGGGATCCCAAAACCACAGTGAACCTTTCTGTTCAGCTGTCTGCTCCCGACTCCCCGCACCACTCTCGGACAACTAACAAAATACTATCGATGATAATTTTAACTCCTCCCACCGAAATCATATTTGACATCCTGAGAAATGAGTCTTAACGCTCACTTCTCTATGAACCCCCAATTCCCATTTCAATCAGTCTTCCCATCAAGTTCTTCTAACCAAACACTCAACTAATTTCCTAAATTAATGGTCAAATCATTGGTCAACCGAACATACCCTCAACTCTAAACAACCCTAGATGTAAACCCAATACTCTGCCAGATTGGAAGGTGCCGAAAAGATTGTGATTCAAATGAAGCTTGTTATTTAGACATAGAAATATTTGATCACATCCGGACTTACCAACTTTTGTCCCATCGATTCATTTCCCTTCTGACCCTTATACTACAAGACCGTATTCTACTAATTTCCTCAGATTAATGAAAAGTTATCTCTATCACTTAAGAGAAGCAAAATCGATAATCATATGCCCTGGGGGTTATGCCCTCACCCTGTACGGTCACTTCTCTCATATGCATCCATATTTTACCCAAAAGCTCAATTTAGTAAACTACATTTTAAGTAAATATTAAAAAAACCTTTTTCCAAAATACCATGGTTATAGTACCCCGATGGTGTGGATCGTTGCTCATAATAGGAATGACTGATTTGTCTGGTCTGAATTTGCATACAGGTGGCTGGAACATGGCTGAATAAAGCATTAAACAAGAGTGAAAAAAGTATCAAAAATATATGATCATGTAGTTTGCATATGTTGTTGTTAGCTAACAATTTCTTATATGTTTGTTTGTTTGTTTCTTATGTGCCTCAGATTTGTCATCAATAATATACATAGGTTGTTTTGTATTTTTGTAATAAATCATCTTCAATGAACTTCATTTCTTTTGTCATGTGAAGTGAATACACCAACAACTAACCCCAGGAGGTGATGGATGTCTACAATCTGACTTCTCGGACAATGTCAATCTTGACAAATGTACCTTGAACAGCTTATCTATGTTCAGCTACATACACTTCTTTCTTGTATTAAGTTATCATTGCATGAATGTCCAATCGTGTGTCACAAACTAAAAGCCAGTGTGAAGCTTACACCATCTCTAATTACACAAACATTATTTAGTTCCTACATAGGAGTATCCTCTTCTTTCTTCAGATTTGAACACACAATTTAACAGCAGACAAAATGCATGTATAATTTGATGTAAAGAGGTGGTGTTCTATTCATGGTAATACATGTGCTTCACATCCTATGTATAGATGTGAGTGTAAAACTAATAATATACACAGATGTAGGGCACAGGTCCTGCTGACTAGTATGTGACTTCACCCCACCCACATGCAAATGTGTACACTTGGTGCCCTCTACAGTGATGTGACTGGCATTATGCTTATAGCAGCATTAAAACAAACTACCTCACTGCTGCCACACTTTACTTTGTTTATGTTTTCACGGGATGTCCCAAACACTTACATATACTAATGATGTCTTATAAACCAACTGAGACATTTGTACTGTTTAAATTGCCTAACCTGTGCAATGGGTAGCCTGTTACATTTGCACAAGTCTCGAAGGCAAAACGTATTAGTTTTAAATAAGAATTTCTAGATTATGTAAGAGTAAGAACATTTTGACGTTGGATTCATCTAGACTTGCCCACAATGAGTATAGAATTACAAGGAGCCATATACTAGTAGCCTGTATACAATACTTCTAATGCATACCAAAAATGCAAAACTAAATTCCAGTTTATTGATTAAAAAAAATTATACTTTATCTGACCCTAACATGAACACCAATATAAACACCAGTTCCAACTGGTAAGACCTACAAACGAAACAAAAACGAATTCAATATAATTTTTATGAATATACAATACTTATATTGATCAATCATCTTGTGTCCTCTTTCAAACTATCTGATGGGGAATGAAAACCACTGACATTTAACCATATTTAATGTAATGAATATGAACACTACCAGCCTGGATTAGAATTTGAATTTTGAATTTAATGTTATACTGGATATTTAGAAAGTTATCGTGTCCAAATTTAGCCCATCCAAATACACCACAACTGAAAACGCTGAAGGAAACACGGAGTGCACGAGAAGTAGTTGGTATGGAACTTGATATATACGTTGCTATACGGGAGTTATGACACACTGCTAACGAGAAGGAATATTTCCTATTTTAATGCCCAATTCCCAGTGTTTATTTTCCATGAGACAATGGCAAAGTGGAAGGTGATACTGGGAATAAAATTCCTTAAAATTCCACACTTGCTTACAAAATACACGAACGTTTTACAAACATTTTGATTTATTTCCTCTTAGTTTTGCATAAAATAATGATAGTTTACAGATTGATAAAGAAGGAAAGTTTCTTCAGGTTCTGCTGTACCGCAAACAATGCAGTCTCACTGCACGCTGTGTGCTGTCACAACACGGCAGAAGTTCGATGCACTTCCGGGTTCAATTGAGAAGCAGTGCGTACGAAATAAGTGTCGTGTGCATACACAAGCCACGCCCACCCATGAATATTGTAGACTTAAGACCATTGTAGGTTTAAGGGCACAACATACGTGGACACATCTCGTACGTTTGGATGAGATCAAGCGATATCTACACTGTAGATATCGCTGCAATGAAAATTACATCACAATGCTTTCGGACCATTGTGACGTCACTGGTTACCATGACGTCACAATCAAATGACATCACTAATGGCTCTGCTACTGAAGCTGTTAGCAGCACTTTTTACGCTTAATCCACACTTTGGTGCCACGGGACCATATATGGTCCCTCACTTTTCACACCCTTAAAATGTCGCTTTTCAACTGTGAATTAAAATTATTACCATCATCACCCTTATCATCCCAGCTTCAACATCGTCTAACTCATATTTTATACAATGCTACGGATTGCGAAATATGGTGAGATTAGCGAAGTGGTTACCACTCTTCGCGACCTTTTTCTGACATGTTGAATTTTATGCGAATGACGGCGAATTTGTTATTATGCACCAATGCCACACACACGTAACTATTATAATATCACACAGCCAATTTGAAAAAAAAATTGATCAGACGGGTCAGACATATTGCTTTTAAGTCCGCAACGGAAGTGTTTTGTTCAAGTATTGCATATTTATATTGACCGTTTCAACGATTTTGATTGCATCTATACGTGCACTTACTCTTGGGTGGTAGTACGTTAGTATAATCTCCTTAATTATTAAGAAATAATAATGATGTCCAATATTGAGCGATGTCAATTTGAGTATTGTTAAGGCTGTTTAGCGATGTTGCACATTTTGTCCCATGTCAATTACCCCGAAGTTGTTTTTATCACTAATGAAAGAGCACGGACACTGAAACCTGCATAGATGTAATCGGGATTTCTTCAAGACATACATTCAAAACCGTCATTCATTTTGTCTTTGAAACAGTCTGCGTTCGAACCAATCACGACCACTTCCGTCAATTTTGTTTTGACGTCAAATAACACTGGCAATTTCAACGGGATTTTTTGTCGGCAAATAAAAATCACGGAAAATTCTCAATGAATGCGTACTTCGACAAAAATGCCATATGTCTATCACCGTTACTTTCCAATGGTATGAATTATTGGGACATTTAGATTTCATTTAAGAGCGCTCACTTGGCTTTACTTTCCACAGTCGTGTGCTTCCATATTGATTACGTAGAAAAATAGGAAACTTAGATCAGTATTTTTTTATTGGAATGCAAACCCCTCTAGCCAATTCGCGGAGTTCTCTCTGCTGTCGCTGTCACCAGTCAAAGCTCCCCACTGTGATAGGTGGCCAGAACCATGCTAGGAGTTCTACTGACCAACCGACTGACCATTATGTTTACAAACAAGTGATGACTGCCGTGACGCCGAATACGCCTACCCCAGCGAAATTAATTTCTTTGTTTGTCAATTTGAATTCTATTTCGTATCAACTATCATATAACTGGAACAGTAGAAATGTAAGGGGGAAGTTGGGTGATTTTATTAAACTGGTTCAACTCTTGATTCGCGACGCAAGCTTAGTGCTATTCTTTTTTGGTAGACAGGAACCCAGTCTCGTGTTTTTTTTGTTAGTCTGCTATCTAGTATCAATGTCATTAAACAAATAAAATGGTTAATTTTTTTTTGGAAACCTGGTCAGTCGCAAGACTTTTCAAAATTCACTATGATGGCATTCCCAAAGACATAATTAAACACAGATATTAACGTGAATACATTCGGGGTTAAAGGGCAAATTTGAAGATTCGTTTCATGGTGCTTCCACACTGACAGTAGCGATGTTACCGAGAGTGTCACGCGCTGGGAAGGAGCCTGATTGAAATAGTTTGAAGGGGAGAGATGCATTATTGAATGAACTGTTCTTTACACAAATCTTTTAGTTATACATATATACGTTGTACTGCCTTAAATATAGCTTCATTTTCTGTAGCAACGTGATCCGCATTGCTGTATAACAGTAGGTGTACATCAACAGCTATGTTATGAACAATATTTTTTAAGGTTGTTAAACATATTTTCACGATGATGACTAAACAATGTACATTCCATGAGATAATGATATGCATTTTCACATGTATTTGAAGATGTACAGTTCGGGTGATCTTTGATACCAATTCTATAAAAATCATAATTCAATTGACTGCACATGTATCTCAGTTTTGTGTGTAAGATATTATATTTTCTTTTTCCATATGCGAAGTACGCAGGTGACGTGTTTACAAACAGTTATTGACACACGATTAATTACCACCTAACGACGTACAACTAACACAGGATCATATGACGTGAAGCGATTACACAACATCAATAATTTCACTCGGTTAACCATTTTCTTACCTGATGGTCATGCGACGTTCCCCAAAACAACCAATGACAAAATGTCTGGACATTTTTTTTACAAGTTATATTTTGGACATTTGTTAGCCAATGCCGAGTAAATTTTCTTAAATTTAAATTTTCAAGCTACAAAACCCCACTAAACAGTTTAATTTGTTAATATATTCAGTAATTTTACGGGAAATCGCACCTTTTCTTAATGCTTTCGAGAATTGTGTTGAGAAGTATTCTGGTTTGAGAAGTGAGCAATTGAGACAAATCAAATGGTATTTGGAATGCAGAGTTGGCGCTGTGAGAAATGTAGGTAAGTAGATCATGCTTGTTTTGTGAATAAAACAAGAGAGACTTTTCCTGCGGAATCAGACAAGGGTTTAAAGCACGCAAGACCTTTAACTAAATATCGGAATTTATGTACACCAAAATTGTGCCAAAGTGGCATGTCCTGTAGGTTTCCATATTCCTCCTGCTGACATCGCTTTATCCAAACTTTCTTCGTCTCTAGATTGGCGTTTTCTCCTGGAAATGTCAAAAAATGACACTTGGTACTTTTGTTTGATGAACAAGTACACCCCCACGCCCACACAATACCCATTTTTGCGTCTTCAACAGGCCAAGAAAAACAGAAAATCACTTTGTTGTCACGTAGATTAATGCAGTGTAAACAAAACTAAATGGCGACCAAGACACTAATTTGCCGTCCCACCTACAGCCTGGCCTCAGCTAGAGTTTCAATATGCAGACGCGCTAATTGGAGGTCAGGGCAGTCGTTTGTTGCTTTGTGGATACCAATGAAATTACACATGGCTCTTTTTTGGGTGTAATAATGTACTTTGTAATATTATTTTACATGCATTAAAACGCTTCCTTTCGATAG